AAAGTCACTGCACGCTGTCTGTTCCAAAGGGGCGCTAGGATTTAATGCGTGAATTTAACTGTTTCTTTCGTGACTCGGGATTTTTTTTTTTTTTTTCCGAAAAAAAAAAGGTTTCTATTACAAAATGTAAATAATATTTATTAATGTTTATATACAATTTCTTTTCGAAGCTATTTTATGCAATGCTAGATATCACCCGTCTTGCATTGCAGTGCTACTTAAAGGTATAAGGCATTTCTCCCGCCTTCCTAGCATGCCTTCCTGGTGTGGTGGTCTGCACGCTGGGTGCGTATTCCAGAGGTCCGTGGTTCGATTCCCGGCGACAGCTTTGCTCATTTTTCCTCTCTCTAGCTTCAAAAAAAAAAAAAAAAAAAAAACAACTCAATGTCTCTACAGTGGCACCCGAACTAAAAGGGAGGCAGATGATGATTCTCCCAACCCAAGATTTGGCGATTGGATCCCCTAAAAACCCAGTCGCCCTTTAAAAGGTAGACTATATAAGGTATTTCTCCCGCCTTCCTAGCATGCCTTCGTGGTGTGGTGGTCTGCACGCTGGGCACGTATTCCAGAAGTTCGTGGTTCGATTTCCGGCGAAGGCGTTGCTCATTTTTCACTTCTCCTGCTTCCAAAAAAAAAAAAAAAACCTAATGTATCTACAAAGGAAAGAAAGTGTGTTTTTTAATTATGTTTATTGAAGTGCTTTTGGATAGACAATACTTTTTTATTTTCCCACCTGGTGAGAGCAGTTTCACTTTTCCACTCGCGCAACACATTCCTGGTGCTTCATTTTTAAATTTGAGGGCTCTGCAATGCATGCATAATTTATCCATCTTTCCAACGATCACAAGGTGTTTGTAGAATAAATTGACCGTCACTTCTGGCCTCAGTAGTGACCTAAAATGACTAGTGACCGCTAGCCATTTTAGGCTGTAAAAAAAAAAAAATTCTTTGTCACTCGCTATTTTTATGCGTACATCTTTTTCATTTCAATTTAATTTTTTCTTAAATGTCTTGTACCGATAAAAGCAACATTTTCTTTCATGAATAAATCGTTAATGCTTACTCGGTTATTTCCTCTTTAATTCACCTCAAATTTGAATTTAAGATGTACTACCAAGGAAACTAGAAAATCCGTAAGCCAGATCGCCTTAATAGCCTAAACAATCTGGAATTATGGATTTTTACAATAATGTTACATAACAACGGATTAACGAATTGCCATTGCTTTCTATTCATCAGTGAAACCCACATGATTAATGGTCAAAGTAAAAAAGAATCAAACAACAAAAACATGAAAATCTGAAGCAGAATGCGGAAACTGCATGTAAGGATGCGAAAGGTTAGCCCCGTTATAATCTGCTAATTATAGAGAGCTTATCTTTGTATTTTTCTCATTGTGCTATTGTATGACTTTGATCATTTCTCTAAAAAAGGATTACTCGAGACCGGTCTAGTAAATACCAATGAAATTTTAGTTCTTCTAAATATCTTGCTTAAAGGTGTTGAGTTAGAATTTGTATATGATTATTAAGATAATTTCGCAGTAAATATTCTGCCTAATGCGTTAAACTCCCTGTAGATTAAAATTAATTGATTATGTTGCATTTAATAAAAATTGTATTAGAAATTAATACCAGTTACTTCTTATTCAGAAAACAGATTTTTAAACGAATAAAATGTTTCTCCCGCCTTCTCCTGCCTTCGTAGTGTAGTTGTTATTACCCAATTACTCTACAAACGAAGCTACAGTTTCCTTCCTTATTCTGATTATAATTTCAAGTGTTAACAACCTATGAAACAAGCAAGGAACAACGACAATGGCTTTAAAATTGTTTATTACAATAGCAAGTTCTTGAGGTAATGTCTGCTATATGGTAACACACTGTATGCTAGTCACTACTCAAGCGATGGCACAATGCAGCATGCATACATGTAGAGGTGACACCTCTTGACGAATCGTATGTTTCAATTCCGATAACACATAAGGACCTCAAGCGATACTTTCAGGAATTCAATTACGTTCACAATCAATAAATAACACGCCAGAGTCTAATCTGGAAAGCGAGGAGGACACGAGAATATGCCGTGCTTATTAGTGATGTTATATCTTTGCCGAAGGTCTCGATAAAGAAAGTTTTGACTGGATTCGCAATGTGACTGGTTGTCCCATGGTGTTTTAATGTTAACGTAGACACCGCATCACTTTCCTCAAAGACAGCATCATTATATGCAAAAGCTTTAAATAACACTCTGCATTCACATCACAAATTATCCAGCCATTTACTAGGCACTGAACTTGAAAGAAAAAAGGAGTCTAAAATGAAAAAAGCACGTGAAATGACAACAAATTATCTTTGTGGAATGAAGTGACTTCTGTGTGTAATCACTGGGGTAAGATATCGCTTGTTAACTTCTCCGTATAACGAAAAGTAAATTTCATTCATCCGCAAGAAATTAAATACTCAGTTAGCTTCCTGTGCAATTTTGGACAACGACAATAAATCGGAAAATGCTTCTTTTTGTGCATTATTTATTGGTAAACGCCCATGGCACAACTGCAATCCATTGGCAGCGATATAAGATTCCATGAGGAATATTGCGAACCGTTGATACTGCTACTGCACTACATATACGGTGCTTGGTCCCCGTAGCTGCTTTAGACCCTAACGCTTCAATTTCGGATGCAAAGGGACCTGACTGTGACTCCATTTAAGCATAGTCTATTGGTTTTTGAATGATGCTCTAACAAACCAGATTCTTCAAAACGCTTTGACAAGTTTTATTTGTTCTGCATTTAATAAAGGAACTTTATCAATTGTCAGATTTTTCTGCTCTGGGAACTTATGCAAAGCAATGAACACTGACTCGTAGTTAACTTACAAAGTTTAGTTATTCTTTCTTGGCAATCATACAATGTAACTTTAGATAAAATGGCAGCGAATTATCGGTAAGTCTAAAATAACTACTGAATCTTGAGAAAGGTGTAAAAGATCCTCTATTAAAACTAAATGAGAACAGATGGAACACTTTGTGTTTAAACCTCATCCATCAATCGTGGCGAGGTAACTTAAGAGTAAGCGTAAATTTAAATATAAAATTTAAATTAAATAAACTAGTAACCAAAGATCTACACAGATCTATTTAATGCGAAATTTCCTCAACCGACATGCAGATTCAATATCGGCGATTATAATGTAATGCCGAAGATTACAGTTCTTACCTAATCTAGCAAACTAGTACCGTGACTTGGAGAGTCAGAATACACGCTGTCTTACAATCTAGAAACCTTAAATACATACCTCAATTTACATTATGGCAGGAAATGTGACAGTAAAGATCTAAAGTATAAAATAACTGATTAGGTAACATAAAGGAAACTTACAAACTTAAATGAAGCTTCACCACAAAACTTTCATTGAAGCACTTGATATTGATATTCTATAAATTACAGCAAACTTTAATGCTATAACATTGTTCCATTTCGAAGGAATTTTTTTTACAATGACCTCTCAGTAAATTAAAATGGCTCCCAATTTTTGATATTCAAAAGAAACAAATAACCAGTTTCAACTGGCTTTAACAAGATGAGATGTCATTTTTTCTAAACATACATTTCTTTTTTCTAACATTTTTCATACATTTCTTTTACTTTTTTCTTTTATAATCTGATCTTTTAATTTTTTCGGTTACTTTATGAGTGCAGGCTTTGTATTTAAAAATTTTTCTAACGTGTTATTTGAATTCACTTTCCATAAAGGCTGGACCAAATAAAATTAGACCAAAAGCTTTCAAAATTAAGGAAGGTATGTGTAGGAAAATTGTAAGCATGCGAATACGGTAAAGCCTTGTCGAACGCGGGTTTGAGGAACGCGATTTTGCATTCACGCGTTATCTTAATTGTCTCCATTTAATTAGTCCAACTTAAGAATTTTGATTATACCCGGTACGCTGTAAGACGTGGGAAAGAATACGATAGTGCTCTTTAATAACTGGTGTGAAAAGTACTTCATTAAAGAAGGCAACTATCGCTTAGAACAACAAGACCTGAGTTTTAAAACTCTCCTGATACTCAAGAATGCTCCAAAATACGGTGCTGAAGCACTCATAATATTACATCTAAATATAGAGCGTTTACTTCTTCCACCGAACACCACTTCCTTAATACAGCCACTGGATCAAGCAATTATAAAAACATTCTATTATTCCAGACATGTATAAATCTCTGCAAATAAAGCATCAGACGAAGAAAATCATGACACGCTAATGGCATTTTGGAAACAATTCAGCATAACACACTGCCTTTAAACTTGCATATAAACAAGTGAATTCATCAACAATGAAAGCTTCCTAGCATCAACTCTGCCCGGACGTTGTCAACAATTTTTGAGGATTTCTATCGATTGAAAATGAAGCCAATGAAATCATACAGATCGCGAAAGCAATAAGCATCGAATTATTTTCATATAAGGCAGAAGGAGAAATTAAAGAATTAGTCTAGAATGACTATCGCGAAATGACAAATGAAGAACTGCATGACCTTATAACACCAGCAGATAATGAAAGCAGAAATAGTGAAGAAGATAAAGAGTTTTTAACGTACAAGAAGTTAAAAATCTATACCAGCTATCCATTAAAAATAATTGTATCATCTACCTACTTATTAAGCAGTAACGGAAATACTTTCAATTAATACTTGTTTCATTTTTCTTTATTTTATGTAAATTTCTTTATTTTATTTTTGTAATATTTAGGTTTATATGAATTACACAAACTTTCTTAATCTAAACTACACTTAACCCGTTTTTTCCATAGAAAATTAACATCGAGGAAAGCGATTTTGCCATACGCGTAATGTGTTAATGACGGAACCCTCGCGTTTAGCAAGGGTTTACTGTATCTACATGTCCTTGGATTGCAACTTTTGTCTTCTAATTGCATGAGTTAATACCAGTTTTTCCAAAGATTAGAATCCGGACAGTTTTGTTAGTGGTCAAATTAATGTTTGCGTAACTGAAAAATTAGATTACAACTATTAGAACTTGCTAAAGGAAAATAGAAAGCAGAATATTTTTATGCAAAAAATAGCTATTCATGCATAAAAACTAAAATAATTTAATTACATGCATTTCAAAAAACCTCTACATTTAAATAGCATTCTTTGTGCGATATTTCCTTCTGACCTCACAGCATATACACTTCTAGGATTCAAGCTATGACCAAAACAAGAAAATGACTGCAAAGGAGAAAATAATTCTGCATTTTGAATTTCCTCTATTCTTTCATTTATGAATGCATTTGGTCTGTGATAGTTTTGATTGTTCTGAGTTGGTCCGAAACTACTCCAAATTGTGTGAGAGTTTATACTCACCTCGTTTGGTTTTATTTCTTGTTGATCACCAGGTAGATTTCGTTTATAAACTTCAACATTCTCTTGGACCTCGGTACTTCTGCTGCTTTCATCGCAAGCTACTCTGTTATTAATAGAATTATTTCTTGTATGCAGTCGACCGTTTCGATATGCATTTAGATTTTGGTGATAGAAGATTTCCTCTGCTTCGCTCGATATCGTGTCTTTCGTATTGCTCAGCATGTTTCTTGAGAATTTATCGTCATTGCAACTCTTCTTTACTCTGCATTTACAAAATTCCATAGCTTTAAAACATAAGTCACAACTTTGATTGGATATATTGTTTACTACCGCTGTTTCTAAAGATTTCGAATCCGAGGTTCTGTTAATGCACTCTTTTTCATTTTGTGTTTTCATCTGCTGATCGCTCTGCCTTTTATCAGGAACAGTCTGTTCATGATCTGCATAACTATGCAACTTTGTAACAGCTGCCAAATCATGAAGGACCTTGTCAGCCAGAGAATTAACATTTTTGCAGAATGTTAAAGGAAGAGAACTGTTGATTGATTTGTTGTGCAAGAAGTCTGGCTTAAACCCAACTGATTTTAAACGTTCAGTACTTACAGTTGTTTGAGGTTTAAAGCTGGAAGTCTTTTGCAAATTTTTCTCGGTATATAAAGAATTCAATGATGAAAATGTTTCAGGCCCCATTTTCACTGAATTATCTTTAACCTGGGAAGTCTGAAGCTCTGTCATTTCACTATGGTCAATCTTTGGAAATTCATAATCGTAATCTTCGCTCTTGCAATAATAAACGTAAGGATCCACGCAGTAATCATGGAAACTTTCATAATCTGGAAATGTGTCAAAAAATTTTTCTTTTATTCGTTTTGAACTATTTTCGTGTTGGTATTCGTTCTGGCATATTTCACCTTGATTCAGTAAATCAACTTGAACTGATGCATGTTTCTTGATTTCCTGTAAAAATGTTCATATTTATAAATAAGTAAGTGCATGCATAAAATACCAAATGAAATATGTAACAAATATAAAGCAACAGTTGAAAGTTGAGCAATTTGCAGCTACAGGTTGGTTCTTTCTTTACACATATATATAGCCCGAGAGAGAGAGACAAAAAATAAGAAATTTAGAACCAATTCCACAAAGACCCAAAAGAAGTAACATTCAATAATAATAAATTTCAAAATTTTCTATAAACATGTAAATTAACCAAAAGTCCTAAAAATTAAAGAAAAGTGAAATGCAGAAATCTCAGAAACTGAAAACACACACACAAATGAATACATAGGAAGAGGGATGCAATCAAATCTGATACAGAGTTATCAAGAGAAGGTACATCAGACTCAATTGAATCCTCCTTCCCTTTGAAAATCATTGCGTTTCATTTATCCAAAATTAGCTGATGAACCATTCTAATTTTTTTAATCATAACAGTTCACCAGAAAATCTTGAATTCCTTTCTGACGCCAGTGTTAGTATTAAAAGAAAAATGCAAAGACGCATTCACTCGTAAAAATACTATTGCCAAATAACGCAAATAAAACAAAAGAAATTAATTAGACACTTTTTACTGAATTTAAAATTGAAATTAATGCAATAATAGAGGACATGAATTTCAAACTTACTCAGTGGACGCAGAGAAATAGATTAATCACTTAAATCTATTTCTCTCTCTCTCTCTATATATATATATATGTAATATTAAAGCACAAAGGAAAATGACGGAACACTGTAGATGCGTGCTTAGATCCATAATTGAAGAAGAATTTTGATTGCGTAGTATTTAAAGAACTTGGCAGTCGAGGCAGTTTTAATTCCATTTTTATTTCCAATTGATATTTGTGGCCACAATCACTTGGCACTCTAGTCGTGCCTTTCCACAGAAGATTTACATTTTTGATATTGTTGGGATAGAAAGCAAGCCAGCGAAATTACATCTTAGGACAGTAGAGAGCAAAAGCTGAAGTGCGTAGTTATGCAAGATGGAGGCACGCGAGGAGAAAAGTTTTGGTTTACAATTCGGTGATTGGTTGTCAAGAGGCATTTGGTATTAACGGTTACGTAAGATCGTATGATTAATTTGAATGACGCAATGCAGATAAGTTATTACGATTTTAGAATAGAGAGGAAGAATTAATCTTTATAGTTATATTATAATTCTGATTCATACATTGTTATCTTACATATTTCCCCCCTTCAAAAAGAAAAAGACGTAGCGACAGAGAAGCCTTTTTAAAGAGAAAGAGTTAAAACACTAGCAAATTAAAAAAAAAATATAAATAAATAATAAAATTTTGATCCTGTAAAGTATTATTTATAAATATCAATTTTTTTAAAATAAATTCTTAATTTAAATAAATTCTTGATTTTTAGAGTCCTATTGAATTTTTCAACATTTCAGTCCAAAAGTCTTTTTGTTTGAGAGTTCATATAATCATAATTCTTCAGGGAAGGTTCTTGTTATCGCAGAATATCACAAAATAAACTTTTACATAATCATTACTTATAATTAAATTTAATGCACATAAATATTTATGATATTAATTTTCATATTGATAAATTATATTTTAATACCATATAATAATAGGAGTAAGCTTCAGAAATTATGGTTTCACCTTTATCATCTTTCATTTACAATTCCTTTATTTTACCATACTGGAAGCCTTGCAATACTTCTAAACAAACATATCCATCAATAGGGCTGTCCTCTTGAGCTAACCAGTGTGTTCTATGCACTGGTGGCCCAGGGTGCCTAGGCAGTTACTTGAAAAGGCCTCCGTTCCTTGCATTAAGGTAACTGGCCTTTGAGAACTGCACTAATACATTCCATAATAAAAAAATACATATAATAATAATAATAACAATATAAAAAAAATTACACACACACTCATAAAATGAGAGCTTCCAACATTATCTTACTTGAAGAGGGTGAAGGGAACAACTGTACAGAGGTAATTACAGGCCTCTGTTGAAGGAACCAGTACACCCTCATCATACTATACTTAACACACAATAACCCATAAATTTTAACATGCATTTACCATAATTTCATATTACGTATCTGTAATAATTTCACTTATTTTTTATACCTACTTCATTTTTAGAATAATTATAAAATTCGTATTCAAAACTCTCAACAAAATTTCAAAAACATAAAAACTTATCTTAATATCCTTCCCTATGAATAATTTAAATAGATTAAAATTCGTTACTTAATTTGCTCACACATAATTATGAAAAATTAGAAAAATTAATGAACAAGAATTTCAGATTTTCTCAAAACAAACTTGCAGAAATTTTAACCAATGTTGAAATGAAAACTATAGAATTCGCAGCACATTAAATAATTTAGTTTCCTGAGCTTAGATTCACACGAATGTAAAAATTTTTGAGCTGTTGAAAAAGCGGAAGTGCAAATAATTTTCTGTCGCACATACTTGCAAACACTAACTCGGATCGACCTTGAACCCGCTGTAATGCTTAATTCCTAAACGGTAATTCACTGATGATTTCATTTTCACTAGGCATTCGAACTTCTCAATTTATCGAGAGATCACTTTCAATCTGTAAACACTACGCGTGATTATTATTTTTTTTTGAAGCACTTGCGCCACAGCAGAAGAATGATCTGTTATTTTTTAAACACTGAAAAAACAAACTTGATGATTCACTTCTTTCACATTATCTTGAATTTATCACAAAACGATGATTTGAAGAGCTGAATTAAATTTTCCATTGAGGTTTCAGGCTGCAGGAAACTATCCTGCCGGCTAATTAATAACTGTAATGTTTTCAGTTATTCCAACACATCGTGGGCGAATGGTGAGGCTATTCCATTACACGTTCTGGCAGATGGTTAACGAAGCTGGGGTGATTGAACCACGGAGAAAAATGACGACTCAGGACTTTTCACTTTTAACAGCAAGCATATCTTTATTTTAATTTATAGCAGATGACTTTTTCCAGATGAAGTTAATCAAATAACTTATTCAGTAATTGAACTACCGTATTTACGCGAATCTAATGCGCATCGTTTTTGGCCAAATGTAGTATTCAAAATTGGGGTGCGCATTAGATTCGATGGCGCATTAGATTCGAGTGCAAAGTTCGCCGATGACGTCAACCAAATTTCTCGACTGCATTTACCGTTACATTTATCGTTGACACATTATTGCATAGAGGATACAAACTGCAGAGTACGTAGTCACGAAATGGAGGGCAAACAGAGAAGAATGTCATATGACGCTACTTTCAAACGTAAAGTAATTCTTTATGCTGAAAAAAATGGCAATAGAAAGGCAGGGAAAGAGTTCAACGTAGCTGAGAGCAATGTTCGCTTGTGGCGGCAACAGAAATTGGCACTGTTTGCAACTAAAGCTAGTAGAAAGAAATTCACTGGCCCTCGCAAAGGAAGACACCCTAAAATTGAAGAAAAAGTTTTGGAATTTGTACATGAAAGGAGGAAGAATGGACAACCTGTGACTAGTGACACCATAATAAATAAAGCAAAAGAGGAGGCTGAAGTTCTTGGAATACCGAAACAAGAGTTTAAGGCCAGCCGTGGATGGGTGGATCGGTTTATGAAGCGGATGGGTTTATCTCTAAGACGCCGTACAACAATATGCCAAAAGCTTCCTGCAGATTTTGAGGGAAAACTACTAACATTTCAGCGGTATGTCATCACAATTCGGAAGGAAAAGAATTTTTCAAATGGGCCGAAATTGGCAACGCTGACGAGACGGCCAATTTGGTTTGATATGCCTCGTAACTACAACCATTACGGAGAAGGGGAATAAGGAAGTTATCATCAAAACTTCGGGATGTGAAAAACAACTACGCGTAACAGTGATTCTGGCAATAACAGCAGACGGGTGCAAGCTTCCCCCTTTCTTAATCTTCAAACGGAAAAACATGCCCTAAAACCCCTAAAATGAAAAGCTGGTTCCCAGATGATGTCCTGATTCGAAACCAAGAGAAGGGGTGGATGACGGAATCATTAATGCTTGATTGGCTCCGAAATGTACGGAAACGCCGTCCCGGTGGGCTCTCTAATCCACCATCAATGCTATGTCTGGACGCATTTCGTAGTCATCTCACCGACGACGTAAAAAAGACGATGCACAGGCTAGGCAGTGATCTTGTTATCATTCCTGGAGGGATGACGTCTGTGTTACAACCCCTGGACGTTAGTATAAATAAACCTTTTAAGGGGTACGTTCAGGCGGAGTACGAAAAATGGTTTTGTGAGCCAAACCGTGTATTGACCCCGAAAGGAAAAATTAAGCGTGCTGCACCGCACATTGTTGCACACTGGGTTTTTCTGCTGCCTGGAAAAGCATCGAAGCACCAATGATTGTGAAATCTTTCAAGAAATGCTGCATTTCAAATTCATTGAATGGCAGTGACGATGACGTGCTCTGGAACGCCGAGGATGACGATGACGACGATGAGGAAAGAAGAAATGAATCTGCTTCTGACGAAGAGAGCTGCGAGGATTCCACTGATGAAAACATTAGTGAATAAAGACGTTTACTATTAATCACTGATTGTAGAAACTGTTAGCTAGATAGAAATGTTACGATTTATTTCATGTTCATATTTTACGATAGGTACCGTATATACGGTAGAGCTAATTAACAATGATTGTTTCACATGACACTAGCCCACTAATAGGTTAATTCTATGTTCTGCTACTTTATGTATAAATCCATTGTTGTATAAAATATGGTATCTAAATTTAAATAAAATTATCATACCATTAATTGATAGTTTATATACAAATTCATTGTTGCATAAAATAAGATTCAATAAATTCCTCATATCAATGATGCGCATTACATTCGCCGACAAACAATTTTTTTATTATTTAAAGTTTTAAAATGGGGATGCGCATTAGATTCGATGGCGCATTAGATTCGCATAAATACGGTATTAGATACGACTGACTTTAAACTTTAATACATCATAACGTTCTAACAAAAAAGAGGAGCATAGCGGAAGCGTTAGCAGGACGAAGGCGAGAAGGCATCTGTCTAGGAGAACTTATGACGCAGCATTTATATGAAAGGTTATGTAACAGAGTAGCTTCTAGAAAAATGTAGAAAAACTTATGACGCAGCATTTATATGAGGAGGTTATGTAATAGGTGCGAATTTTCTAGAAGGTAATGGTCTAAGGGGAGATGCTGAATTGCAGAAAATTAATTAAAGGATGCTGGTTCGCAAAGAGCAAAGCCATCGTATTTTTTTTTTATTTTACATCTTCCCCCCCCCGTCAAAAAGAGAGGCCGGGGTGAGAAAAGCATTAGTACAGGAGTGAAGCAAAAGTATGAGAAAAGACATGAAAACATCCAGAACATAGCGTACAAGCTTTAACTATGGCCTATCATAGTTCATGACTTTCTCATATAAACTTTTGACTTTATAGCATATGAAATTTTGAACATTAAAACAATGAGTTATAAATAAATATATAATATATGACTAATTTTAAGACTATAACATAATAAATATGGAATACTGATAAATAAATAAGTTATAATTACAAAAGTCCTCAATTTTGTTAAAAATGTCCATTTTGTGTTTTTTTTTAAGTCCTTTTCATAAAAAGAGTTCGAATAGAATGAAAATATCTGGTAAAATCTCTAAATGCCAGATAGTCCACAAATATGATGCATGTTGATAGTTCACAAATATGATGCATTTTTTCCTCTCATCGTAAAGATTGACATGTTTTACACTTCAATACAAAATATTATACTTAATCAAAAAACAATTCAATATAAATAATACAATTATACCTAGAAAATGAACACTTTGACTTTAAAACTATGGCATGTCCTCGCCAACGGATAAGCGTGATTACTTGCTGATGGTTGGGGGTGCTAGGTACAAATATCGAAAAAACCTCCGTTGCCTAATAGGTAACTGGTTTTTGGCATTGTACATTACCTCAAAGTGGTGTTAGAAAAATAAAAGATCATATAAAATCAAAATTATAAGACGGATAACTTGTATAATCAAGTTAAAGTCTTTTTTATAACGTTGTAAATTAGAAACAAATATTATCCTACAATAAGAAGAAAATTTTTGCTACAAAATAATTCAAATTATGTGAAAGATATAAAAGGTCAAGATCGGGAGAATAATTTGTCATAGTCGGGAAAATAACTTGTCATAGTTAAAATATAAAAACTTATCTTAATATCCTTTCCTATGAATAATTTAAATAGCTTAAATTTCGTTACTTAATTTGCTCACATATAATAATGAAAAATTAGAAAAATTAATGAACAAGAATTTTAGATTTTTTCAAAACAAATTGCGGAAATTTTAACCAAAGTTTAAATGAAAACTATAGAATCCGCAGCACATTAAATAATTTTTGTTCCTGAGCTATGTTCACACGAATGTAAATAATTTTTGAGCTGTTGAAAAAGCGGAAGTGCAAATAATTTTCTGTCGCACATACTTGCAAACACTAACTCGGATCGACCTTGAACCCGCTGTAATGCTTCATTCCAAAACGGTAATTCACTGATGATTTCCTTTTCACTAGGCATTCGAACTTCTCAATTTATCGAGATATAAACACTAGGCGTGATTATTTTTTTGAAGCACTTGCAAAACACCACAGCAGAAGAATGATCTGTTATTTTTTTTAAACACTGAAAAAACAAACTTGATGATTCACTTCTTTCACATTATCTTGGATTTATCACAAAACGATGATTTGAAGAGCTGAATTAAATTTTTTATTGAGGTTTCAGGCTGCAGGAAACTATCCTTACCGGCTTAATTGTCATATTAAAAGCTCAACTGAATCCTCCTTCCCTTTGAAAATCATTGCGTTTCTTTTATCCAAAATTAGCTGATGAACCATTCTAATTTTTTTAATCATAACAGTTCACCAGAAAATCTTGAATTCCTTTCTGACGCCAGTGTCAGTATTAAAAGAAAAATGCAAAGACGCATTCAGTCGTAAAAATACTATTGCCAAATAACGCAAATAAAACAAAAGAAATTAATTAGACACTTTTTACTGAATTTAAAATTGAAATTAATGCAATAATAGAGGACATGAATTTCAAACTTACTCAGTGGACGCAGAGAAATAGATAAATCACTTAAATCTATTTCTCTCTCTCTCTCTATATATATATATGTATGGCTTCATTATATGGGGGTGTGTAATGAAGCAGACTCTCACTGTAATGAAAGTTAACTTTGAGGTAAAGATGATGCAGAAATACGGATGGTATAGATAGGTAGAATATTGATGGCGTAGAAACACAGATACATAACGAACAACAAGAATTTTGATTACACAGAATGCTAATCCATAATGAACTGGAACCTGGCACCGGTGACAAATTAAATACTCATTTTTATTTCAGAAACGCATTGAGGCCACAATTAACTTGCCGCATTAACTGTGCTTGTCTCAAATTGTTTACATCTTTGATAGACTTTCAAGACAACAACTATAAATATTATGAATTCAAGTAAAGCTTTTTCAAAAATATAACCTTTTCCAGTTATTTCTTGAAAAAAAAAAAAATAGGACACTCTTTGCCGTATTTTTACAGAAAAATAAACTTCTAGACTTTCAAATTTCAATAGAATTTTCAATTTGCGTTTATTATTAATAATTATATCTATAAGATTTTGTTATTTAAAATAAATATTTATTTCAAAATCTTATAATATTTTTTTAAAAAATCCTTGCTTCGTTCATGCTTTAAATTTTTCTTCTGAAAATCCTTTTTTTCGCCAAGCCTTTGAAGGGAGCAATATGTAAGATAAAATGTATGTAAATCGGCTTTATAATTTAATTTAGCAATAACCTCTTACTTCCTTATTTTTAATTTGGGTATTTCTTCTCTTTATTCTAAAAATAGTAGAAACCTTTCTGGGCTGCGTCATTTGCAGATCAATCTAGTATGTTCCATAACTTGTGTAGCGCTATGACGTAGTTAATTCGGAACCTGAACTGACAATTTCTAGAACTAAAACGTTTCTCCTAATAAGCAACCTAAACCAAAACCTTCTCTTAGTGAGCCTCCATATTGGATAACTGCGTACTTTAGCATCTGCCTCTCTAAAAACAAATAATTATAATAACTAATATTAGGTTCTAATATTTACCTTGTCCTTCGGACTATCATTTTTTATGGTATTCTCGTTATTTTCCTCACGCAAAGCATTCGCACACTCCTTTTCATCATTAAATATTTCTTGCAGTTTCATTGGATTTGTCCTCGATACAGGGCTTTGTTCTTTCTTCGAAACAGATTCACAAAATCCTTCGGAATCGCAGACAGATTTGTTAATATCAGCTTGTAAATCAAAACCCAAAGTATAGCTGACATAACTGAGAAGCTGCTTCCTCAACTGATATTTTCGATTCATAGACATCAGTGAAGGTGCGAAATAAGACTTTCTAGGACGCGGCAAGGCAAGAAAACTCCGATGGGGTTTCAATTCTGTGGAAACTAGTGAAGATTCTACGGGATCACTTCGGGAAAACCACTTATGGACAGCGGATGTCTGCTTGGGATTCGATTGAGGTTTCAGACGAGACTTGTATTCCATTTTCTTGAAGAATCCTCTAGTGACAATGCCGGTGCCAAATAAGCATGTTGGGAAATTGATGCTGCTTAGATCACACTCACTTCCTCGTTTTAGGCATTCTTTCCAAGAATCGTAATATCGAGACATACTTCTTGTAATGATTGGAATGGAAAGAGTATCGCAAGAAATTAAGGGTTCAGACCATTGTTTTTTCCTCTGAAATAAAAGAACATAAAATTAAAATGAGATTAAAATCTAAAATTTAAATTCTTTCCAACTTCAGTAAAACTATCTATCTAAAGTAAGAGTTCCGAGAAATCTAGTTCATTAAAATAAACTTTTATAGTAATGCGGTGAAATTAATTAAAGTAAATGTGATATGAAACACTAGATTTTATAACAGTAAATTTCAACACAGATGCCATATTCGCTAGTTCCAAACATAATCGATCCGTTGAGATGACAACGAAACGATCTGAGGCGTAAAATTCATTTGCAAAAACATCTTAGGTGCAAAATTCTTTTTTTTTTTTACGGATTTTCCAATTATTTTAAATGCCAAAAATTGCGAAAAATTTGTCATTAGTTCTGCATTTAAAGCACGGTGGATTTGTTTTGGTTTTGTGTGATTACGGCAAAGCTTCGAGGGCTATCTCCCTAAGGAGAGGGATGCCTTAATGGAGGACTTTCTTAGGAAAACTGGTTCGTATATACACGTTACACATGGGAAAAGCTACAAAAACGCTCATACAGCCAGCCCGTTCGCGGGATTCGAACCTCGGATCGAACTTCCACAGTTCAGCGGCTTTACCGCTCGGCTGATTGAAGGCCCTAAACCCAGAGGAAGGAAGAAATCATTGTCAAAATTTTCGGAGATTTGAAAATTAGTTTCTTAGTAAAAAGTTTGATATCGTGTTTTGCAAACTTAATATCGTTATTAAGTTATCATTAAAATACAAATAATGTATTAAAATCGAACTTTTTTAGATAAATAACAGAATAAAAGTAAAACATTTTTATTTTTATCTGTCATATTTAGAAATATTTTTACCTTTCATTTTTACCATTTTTGAAAATCTTGATTCTGAAATTTAAGCAAGATAAGATAGTATTATAAAGCACAGTTCTCGAATTACTTTTTAGCAATTATAAAAAAAACTTCTATAATTATATTAAGATTAAATACATTTGTCTAGTATTTGCATTTTGTATGATAAAAGAATTTTTCTGAGTATAACTGTATCCAAATAATTAGCTATGTATCAATTCTGTGTAAAATTCCCTTACATTCATTTGCGAATCTTTCTTTGACTCTTTTGACTTTTGTTTTCACTGGTGAGCAAGTATCCTGTTTTTCGTATCCTACTAATGAATTCTTTGAGAATTTAAAAACATTTGTAAAAGTTTTCTACAAAGTGTTATTTTCATTAAAACTTATTTTTTGTATCTATTTTCCTGTAAAACGTTTCAACCGAAATAACTTCCATATTTAAGTTATACGATATTTTCTCCCTCCATTCCGCATGCCTTGGTGGTATAATCGGAAGCACGTTTCATGCGTATTCGAGTGGTCCGGAGTTCGAATCCCTGCGGGAGCACTGCAGATTTGTTCAGTTTCCTGACATGGAAAAAATTCTACAAAGCTGGGGAAGTGGGGCCCGAATTAAAAGGTGGTGGACGATAATTCGTCAGGATTTGGCGACTGGGTCTCACAATACCTGGTAACCCTTTAAAAGGGTGAGTATACAAAGTATTTTCTCCCTCCTTTCCCCATGAATTCATGGTGTAACTGGAAATACACTCGACGCGTATTCGGAGTTCGAGTCTCGGTGAGGGCACCTTGGATTTCTTCACATTCTTTCATGGATATAACCTAATGATTCTGCAAAATCTTACCGAGTGGCGACTAAACTACTGCATTTAAATATGAAGTTCATCAAGTTTATTGTTTGCGTATTAACATGGCTATAACTATAGCGGCTAACAGAGAAATTTCCGTAGTTAAATGTGTAAAAGAAATTTGTACTCTTTTGTATAGATTACACATGATATAGATATCTAAATACCGAAAATTTATAAATCCACATAAGAATATATTTCATGATAAATAAAGTAAATAATGAAGATTTAATCCATTTGATTTGAGTTTATATTTAATAATGAGAGTAGATTCATAATTTAAATACAATAAAACTCAGGTTGTCGTCCTCGAAACTATCCTTTTCTTCCATGTATATTTTGGTGCTTTTTGGCCCTTGGGGAAATCTTGCATAAATCTTCAATAAAGGATACTACACTGGTGTGCAAAAATTAAGGACGAAGTCGAAAAATTAGCATATCAGCTGAACGAAGAGGCAGAGCGGACAGAAAGACCAATCAGGAGATTAGGTAAGGTGATGTACGGTAGCACATGCGCAGATATGCAAGTAGACGTAATGGGGGAGTGTCTGAGTAGTTTAAAGCATGTTGTCGGTGTAAGATCAGTATTTCTGGCAAAGAGATTGCACGCCGTATAGCAGTTAAAATCACCCCGAGTTGCTGCTTCAGCGAGAAATGGCGAATAATCAATCTGTTAGACGACATCTGGATGCTTTTACCCGAGGTCGAATCATTGGGAAGTTGGAGGAAGGCCGCAATGTGACAAGTGTGGCTGCAGAGTTCGAAATTGCTCACAGCATCGTTTCACGACTTTGGAGACAATTTCAAACTACAGGAACAGCTATCCGGGGGTTTAGTAGTGGTCGTTCACGAGGAACCACACCCGCAGATGACCGATATATTGCCTTACAGGCCAGAAGAAACAGGCGGCAGGCAGCGGGAGAAATCGCTAGACACACGACACAGGCGACTGGGCGACCGATATCGCGTTTTACCGTGGCCAGAAGACTGCACGGTGGTGGTCTGTTTGCACGACGCTCTGTACGGTGTGTACCTCTAACGCCTGCCCATCGGAGAAGGCGTTCTCTGTGGTGCCGGGAACACCGGAATTGGAGAGACAATGAATGGGGACGAGTACTCTTTACAGATGAGAGCAGATTCAGTCTGAGTAGCGATTCTCATCGCATACTCATCTGGAGAGAGCGGGGAAGCCGCAATCATCCCTCTAACATCATTGAAAGGGACAGGTATGGAGGTGGCGATGTTCTCGTTTGGGGAGGCATCATGCTTGGTAGTTGTACAGACCTTCACATCTTCGACGCAGGTTCAGTCAACGGTACCCGTTATTGTAACGAGATTCTTCTTCCATATGTGCGTCTTTTTAGAGGCGCTATGGGTCCGCAGTTCCTTTTCCTGGACGACACTGCACCATGTCATCGCACAGTAGCTGCCGAACAGCTCTTAGAGAGTGAGGATATTGAATGTATGGATTGGCCGGCACGATCTCCGGATCTCAATCTCATCCAGCATGTATGGGATTTTCTAGGCAGACGCTTGGCAGCTCGTACCTTACCACCAGTAACGATTCCGGAGCTTCGATTGGCGCTGCAAGACGAATGGGCAGCAATGCCTCAACAACTCATTGACACCCTTTTTTCTCAGCATGGGCAGACGCTGTGAAACCTGCTTAGCAGTCAGGGGAGATCAAATCCCCTATTGAAGACCGGATGTTTCTTGCTGGACACCCATCACAGGGATGTTTCGGCCTTCAGTCGCATTGCGCTCCATGCTACTTTTTCAATAAAGCTTCTTTTTATCCCTCTGATTTCTCTTTTAGTAAGTGTTGCTTACATTACTCATGTCCTTACGTATTGGGGATCTTACGGTATTAAATGTGTTGATTTGGAAAGCTTTTGTACAAAGTTATATTGAAAAAACCGCCTCGTCCTTAATTTTTGCACACCAGTGTAACAGTAAGTTAACTACACTTAGTGCATGGCACTCTGTTTCGGGTCCTCATTGTTATTTCATTCCGAGTTATAATAAGTTTATTTTTGTTAATTTTAAATTATTATTGTTAGTTTTCAAGTTTTACAGGTTTACACTTATGAAAACTACTGAGGCAGAAGATATAAATAAATATGAACAAGAGATGGTGTCAAGCTTCACTGAGATTTAGGAAGATAGCGAGGCAGACGTTGAAATATTTTAAGCTTCGAAAAGTCGTATTTTCAATCAAAGCAAAATTCAGCTAAAAAGCAAAAGATAATATTTAACGTTTTTTGAAAGGAAGTTTTTCTAGTTTAGCGTATTAATTGTTGAAGCTAATATATGCTACTTTTTTACAATGCATTATGGTACCCGACCTTAATTGCTTTCCTATATTATTCATCTTTTCTTTTTTTGTCTCGTTAAAACAAACTGTACATCGGGGGTCCGCTGTACTTAGATTACTATGTTATGTCTAGGATACTGTTACGGTACCTCGAATAAAATGATTTCACATTAGAACTTTTAAGCCAGCGACAATTAAAACATCAGTTTACATCTTTGGATTTCTTTTAACAAGACAAGATAACTTTTAACAAGGCAAAATGCACTATTGTTGTTTCGTCTTTGAAAAGCATGATTTTTAAAGTGGTTGAAGATGTTGCCTATGATGCCAAGCAATGTTGCTTTCTCAGCGACTGCGAAAAATTTGTCAGTTTTATTTGGCCTATTCTTTCTTAACTGCTGATGTTCATATTAATAACTGAATTGCCGCCCAGACGGTAGAGTGGTTAGGTGAGCCTACTGTTGTATCGAAGGGCTCGGTTTCGAATCTCAGAGAAGGCATGGATGTCTGCAAATGTATAGTGTACATACGGCATGAGGGCACTCTAAATATATGACGAGACGAAAGTCCTCTCTTGTGGTTTGATGGTAGGGGAGAGTGGTGAGAGGCCCTCGGACCAGCCCCTGCGGTACTCTCCCTAAATATTGAAGTGGAAGAAGAATTCCAACCTCTTTGACGCTCTAGTAACCATTCTTCCATGAAATACATGGGCAAGAAAACAACAATATGTGAATTTACTCTGAATCTTTTTAGTTTCTCAAGAGTTTGATAGCTGAATTAGCGAATTTGTACTTCAGTAGAAAGTAACTTACTAATTGATTTCTAAAGAATTACGTTATTATAAGAGACTTTTGGTAACTTACAAATGAAAGTCTATATTACTCCGTTAAACCTTGTGTTATATTTATATCTTGATTATCTTAAACTGGCAAGTTTACAATGTTAACGAAAGATCGCAAGAAATCTTTTCCAATATGACCTATTACTTTCTTTCTGAAATCTTTGTCTTTTTGGCAAACAGCCAGCAGCTAGGCTTTCCGTAACCTGATTACAGCTAATTATATTAGGCCTTCAGTCGAAAACATGAAGATACTGCAGTGGAATATGCAGATGGAAATGGACATTTTACATGTTCAAATCATGTAACACACGCGGCAGGTAGATTAGACGTTCAATCAAAAAGAAATTAGTAATTTCAACTCTTACCATACTGAACTTAATGCACGTCACGAAATCGTGTCATTGGTCATCAGAAGCAGCTGTCTCCGGAATTCGAGCGATGTATCCCTAACCCTTTCTCAAGAACGTTCGAAAAACCAATTTGAATGTATAACAGGGATCAGTCTCCATATATCAATCCGTATTCTTCGCTCAACTATTTCTTCCACTTTGTGAATTTGCTACCAGTACTCCAAAATGATGAGATGTGAAGTTTATGTGCTTTAACTAGATATCCATTTTAATTGCAGAAACTTTTACTCAACAAATAAATTCATCATCTTAAATTTCATCACTTAATGAATAGCGTTAACAAACAAAGTATTTAATGTAGTTTACACGTGTAAAACAGTTTAGGATGCATTTAAATAAAATACTTTTTATTTACTTTTATGAATAATCTTAAAATTAAAAAGATAGAGTAACATATTTTGCATTTTCTAGAGTAAAGGCGTAGTGCATCATTGTAAAGCTAAATTTAGGTCAGTGTTGGCGAACTCTAGAACATATGAGGATTATTATAAGATACGTTTTGATGCCTCACATCCTAAACTAGGTTTTGATTAGCCAATATTAAGGAGTATATTGCGGAATAATAAACTGGAATTATTTCCAAAGCACTATCTGTTAATATTTACTTGGAATTATCTTTTATTTTGCAGACAGTGTAATAGGATTTCGAATGTAAGATTTATGCTTTTAGAGAAATAAAGACGCTAATTTAAATAAGCTTTTTTTTGAAAAATTATTATTGCGCCTTTAAAGTGAAATATTAGGAACACTAAGAGCCATTGTGGAAAGCAATAAAGTTATTAAATTCATTTTTATCTGTAAGGCTAATTGAAATCTTGACATGCATTGCATATTTGTGCCCAATGTATACGTGTACTATCAGAAAGAAGCACCAAAATAAGAAATCTTTAATCAATAATAATAATATTTCATGAACTTTCTCTTGTGCTTTTTGAGCTAACTGATTTAGTTAAATGATTCACTTAAGTTTTTTTGTTTTCTTTCTTTCTTTCTTTTTTTATATTGATTTTCATGTAATATAACTCAAATCTTGTAAAGAAATCGCAAAATGTTCTAACATTTAAGAACCATGGAACATCGAATTTAACTATTAAGAGGAAGGCTATGTGAAACAAGAGACACTGTTTGGTATTAATTAGTTGGTAATAATTTATGTCCTGTTGCACGTTCATAGTTCATAGAATGTGTTTATACAGGAAGACTCAGTGAATCCTTTCGTATTGTACTAGCATTATGTGTAATATCAGTATTAACTGAGTTACAACCAGTCAAGATTATGCACAGAGCTTCAAATAGTATTTAAGAACATCCACAGTGTCGCATTAGGATTACAAAAGGATGTCTTTCTGATAAAAGGAACATTATTTCACTTTAATTCAGTTAGCAGTAACTTGTATCCTGGGGCCCGTTCATTAAAGGATCAATTTGTATCTTGGTACCCGTTATTATAAACAATTATAATAACATGATATAGAATAATGCAGAAACGACGCAGTCCGGAGAAAGTTATTATAAACAATTATACTATACAAGTACTATTTTTAGAATAGAGATATATTTTATATACAATTATACAAGTATTCATTTTAGAATAGAGAGGAGGAATACCCAAATAAAATGGAGAATTAAAGGCTTTTGCTAATTTAAGTCATAATTTTGATTTACGTATCGTTTAGCTTACACATTCCCTCCCTTTAATGACAAAAAGCCTTGACAGAAAAGCCAGTACTGTTCTGTTATCAGGACCGGATTCAGATATCGCCGAAGACTGACCTGGAGAAAAATTCGAAGCATAAAAATAATAGCCGAAATTTTTACGATACCATTAAGTTGAAGAAAAGTCCAAGGAAAAAAATGACATAAAAATATTCTTAAAATTAGAAGTTTTTAATGTAAATTAAGCAACTGGGCAAAGAAATAAAAAAAAAATTCTGTTAGTGAATTAAGATTAGCGCAAGGGCATGAAGCTTGATCATCATTTGAAATGCCTGATTGCATTTTCGGATACTCTTACTGTAACATAAACACAATTAAATAAGAATCTAATTGACAACGGTCAGTGCCCCATTATTTCGCCATTTCGCACTCCCCATACCTTTGCAAACAGGCTGTGTATGGTGTATGACAATCAGTATCCGGATTGATAAATGGTTAATGCTGGGATTCGAACCCTGGATCTCTCGAATAGTCTGCTACCGTTACACCAGGAAAGGGAGAGAAAATACCGTATATCCTTATCCCCAGTCGCTCTTTAAAAGGAGGAGTATATAAAGTGTTTTCTCCCTCCTTTCTGCATTCCTTCGTGGTGTAACTGCAAGCACACTCGGCGCGTATTCGAGAGGTCCAGGTTCAAGTCCCGGCGAGGGCATTGCCCACTTTTCACATCTTCTGCTTCAAAATAACCTAATGACTATACAGTGTGATAAACTAAAAGGGAGCAGACCATAGAAAAATATATCTCACATTCGTTTATTGAAATGGGTAGAGTTATTAATTAAGACACAATAACACGCCGAATAAATACTAATTCAGAAGTCAAACAAAGGCAAAGAATCAGCGTTCTTTGCCTTTGGCCTTTAAAGAAAATTATGTTTTAGTTCTGGTTTCACCAACAGATGGCGCCACTTGCATATTCTTGTCCAGGCTTTCTTATCTTATCTAATCATTATTTCCTATCTTGTTCATTTGCGGTTTTGCAGCTGAGGATGGTGGTTCGGTAAAACCATGGAAAGTCCTGTGAAAATTTTGAAAATATAACACTAATTTTTGTTGTTTGACTTCTGAATTAGTTAGTTATTAGTTAAAAGGTTGATTTCGTCTGTTAAGCTACTACTCAGATCGAAATGCTTAATATCTGCTTCTATTAAAAAACAGGTCACCAAGTAGTAAAACGCTTAGAAGAATATGATGTCGTACGTAAATTCCAAATGCTATATTTAACGGTTTCATTAAGGTAAGTAAAGCAGAGCTTTGGGAGATAACAGTGTAGAAATCCAGTTACACTACTCATAACAGAACTTTATTTGGAATTCCACATTGAATATCTTGATAACAATGTATCTTTGTGGTGTTACCTTTTAATGTCACAAAGTACATTGATCCAAACAATGTACTTTGAGCTTAAATTGCAAGCAAGTAACAAAAAAGAAGGATTAATATCATGAGTTCATAACATCTTATTGACGTAAAACGAAGAAATGCAATTAAGCAATTAAAATATCACTTACATTTTTCCTGGAGTTGCTTTTGAGTGATTTCTTTTTTACTAATTTTCCCGATTTATGTTTGCTTCTTTCTGCATTTGTAGAACAACAATGGCGCTTTTTTGTCACTATCTGCCGAAAAGCGTCGACTCTTGAGGATTTTCTCTTTTGAACGGGTTTCTGTCTATCCAGGTTCTTTCTTGTGCCCTATAAAAATAGATTAATAACTCATGTAATTTTTATTCTTTTAAGTTTCTGAAAAGTTCTCAAATTTCAATTTAATATTTTAATTATTGAATCCGAATTCAATGAAATGTTCCTCAAGTTATGTAGTTCCTTCCCTAGTCCAGAGTAGGTAGGAGATGCAAGAAGCTATTGTATGGTGTCCTTTTTTTAAAGTAAAATGCGTGCATTCACTCAATAGCATAAATCGTTGCTCTAAATTCATTCATAAATATGTATCACAAATGCTGCTAGTAGTAGCAAACGTGAGTAGAAATGCGCATTAAAAAGAAAGTAGAATTAAAATAGCAGTAAAACAGCAGGTTAAAAATAAAAATTAGAATGAGACTCTGCTTATCATTGTAAACAACTAATATTTGCCGCTGCTGAAAAACGAAATGAGTCGTAATATTACACGTGTGCCTAAAAAGAAAGCATAGCATAATTGTAGAAGCACTTAAATATTTAAAGGGTATCCTTTAAAACCAATTTCATCCAGGATTCGAGGTACAGAGTAAAGGACTAAGGCCATATGGAAAAATTATTAGAATCTTCTCCGCGTGTAGCTAGTTGTAATACTTATCGGTTTCCCCAATAATGTCCTGCACTATGATATAGTGCTGCTTTTCATGAATTGCGGGTTCAGTTATTCAGGTATATTTTCTCTGACTTTGGATAAGCATAACACCGACGAATCTTTATCCAATTGGTTATGCTTTGTGTTTTTGACTTGCCATTCATTCAGAAAACTCCATGAACAGACAAAACAAAATATATTTGTTTTCAAAATTCAGTAAAATTTGGAAGTGGTTGATAACCTAAACTATTGAGAAAAAGCTGCTTATAAATATCCATAACTAATTTGAATAACCTATGTAACGTTGCAAAAAACCACATTAAAGCTGCTATCAATAAATAAACAAATAAATACTGAAACAAATAAAATAAAAGATTCCTCATTTAAAATTTGGAAGACTGAATTATTGTTTTCAGTCTTAATGCCATAATTAACGGAGATGTTAAAATTCGTTAAACGTCTAATGCGCTTCTTCTCGTTTCTTTAAATATAATGAGCTTCTTGCCGAGTTATACGCAATTGATATCTTTAAAGAGATATATGAAAAAGAAGAAATATGACTTTTTCATTTTGCTCGTGTACCGCCAGACATCATCTAAAGAAAAGTCAAGTAAATGGAACTTGAGTGTAGCTATGGACGTTAGCAACGCTCCAACTTCAGTAATAATACTAAGCATTCCAGCTTACTGAGTTTTAATATTAATTTCGAAATGAAAATAAATTTTTTAGATATCATCAATAAGGCGTTTGTTGTTTTACTGTTGATCAATTTCTGAATTATCAAAAAGATACACAAAACAAATTCAGAAGCAATTTCTTGTTATGAAATGCTTCTACTCTTTCACAATGTTCAACTTAGAATATAGTATTTTAAAGACAGATTAGAAACTTCGGAGCGTTTCCTAAACTTCTTACTGGATTAGTCTCAATCTCTTTTATAAGATACGAAACACTGGTAGTTGTTTTCTGAGTTCGAATGTTGGTAATTAAACTTAGAACTCGAAAATGATTCGGACGAGCTGTTTCAAATTCTGTGTAAGAAATCAAATTCTGTATATAAGTTCTGGTGTAAAAGAAAGGAAAAATACATAGTATTGATTAACATTACTGAAGCTTAAGAATTCTACTTTACATTAATTAAGTATTGTAATTTTTAAGAAAATATTTTACATAAATTTTCTCAGCAATAATGATTGCTGAGAAAACTTCCACGTTTAATATTATTTTATTGAATTGCAGTTTTACAACAACTGACTTTAAAATTACAATTAAATTTTAGTATTTTCTTATGCCAATTTATTAATAACATTTACTACTTAAAGAATATTAAAAATTGTATTACTTTTCGACATGATTAAAGATATATTTTAAATTCTGCTCATTATTTACTGTTTTGATCGCACAATGACCTTTAAAGACGAATCTAAACAAGGTCACTTAAAAACCACAACCCGAATATAAATTCATTTGAATCAAATAAATAAACTATCAATCATTTTTACAGTCATCACCTACTAATCTGCAGTATGAAGCATTTCACTGAGGGGTTTATATCTCATTTAATTAGCATTCAGCTGTCATCTCGTTATGTAGATGATAAAGATGTGTAACTCACCGGATGGTGTTTGTTTGTACAGCCAGTTGTAAACGAGTTTTTCCTTAAGCCTTGCTTGCGTCGAGGTAACGGAAAGGATATACTGCAGTGCTTACCCTTCATTACTTTTGTATCGCCTAACAAAATTAAAAATATTTTATAAAATGCACATGCAGAATGCAGCTGTCTCTAAAAATGTGTTGTATGACTACATTCTGTGAAAAAAAAAATTTAGTTTTCCAGTTAGAAGACAGTTTATTTATTGCGTTAATATAAATAAAGTACAAATTTTAAAAATGATGCCATTCACTGAAACCGAAATTGGGAAATATTTCAAAATTTTGCAGAACATGGCATTATTGATATTAAATATAAGAATAATACCCAATAATAAAAATAAATATAAGAATAATACCCAATAATAAAAATAAATATAAGAATAATACCCAAGAATCTGGTTGGCAATTAATAAACTATAGTTGAAGTCGAATTTGCAAATGAAAAAAAAAAAAAAAAAAAAAAAAAAAATTGAACGAAGGGAGGAAATAAAAACTGTAAATGTAAAACGCAAATGAAAGTAGGAAAGGAAAGCTTTTGAATTATTATCACTTCTTAAAGCAAAATAAATCTTTGAATCGTTAAATTTTTTAATGATTTAAAGTTTAGTTTAGTAATTTTAGACTTTTAAATTTAAAATAATGGTTAAAATTTATGAACTGCTTAATTTATTTTTTGTTTTATAGCAAAGAAATCGACTGCACGAGGTATACATCGATCGTAGCTTTCATGCATATTTAAATGCATTATACTAACTAATGCAATAGAACTATTAGAAGGATTATTAACAATTTCATTTACGGCAACAACAGTTAAATCATTTAATGATTTTCATGAAAAAAATTATTTTTGCTTGACGATGTTTGCAAGTCATTTCAGCATAGCAACTAGTAGTCTGCAATTTTCGGAATATATATTTTCGCTATATAAACCCTAGAAGACTGACAAACAAACGCTCTCTAGTAAGCAGTCCGCTGTCACTGGAGCCTCAATTTCACAGGTTACAGTTTTCCTAATGTTTCCTGATGCTTTGTGTCATAACTATTCGGTTATTGCACTGAAATGCTTATAAAGCGCCTGCGAACAATTTTACTTCTTTGCCTGTATTCCTTATATATCACTTTCTTACACTCTCGTCATTGTGACGTACCATCGGTGTCATCTGGTTACTTCCTGAAATTTGCATATGATTCTTGAAGATGTGTGTAGTGATTTTACAGGTGATATATTTATTTTAGAGTTCGTGACTCCGAATTATCCTTAATTTATGGACATGAGTGTATGTACCTAGGTAGTCTCGGCCACGGGTTATACAAATTACGAATCTGGTGGTTCTAAAAGCCCTCGAAAGTTCACTTATTGGTCAGCCAGTGGGTCTGACAGGTCCTAGAGCTCAAGGCTTTGGTAGCCCGGGGTGGCGTCCCGGCTTCTACCTGGGGATGACGCCCCTGGTTTTCTTGATAGTATCCTTGGGAGACGAGCAGCCCGTGTGACTGGTAGGTAGCAAATAGACGATGAGTGTTGCCCTTGGGCCTGTGAGCCAATCTCTTTAAGTTGCAAGGACAGGGGTTGAACTTTCGGTCCTGATTCGGCGGGGAGTGAGGACTCGTAGTGTCCTTTAATGTGAAGGAACGTCCAATATTATGTTATGGTAACCATGTGTTGAATGCTGCTTTAATTGTTTGAAAATATTTAATGTGTCTAGATTTTACTATGATTGCGTACGGTGTATGAAGTGTAGATGAAAAATATGCCTTTGAAGTGCATTAGTAGGTAAAGTTTATTTTAGGAGAAACCGGATTTACATGAAATAACGAACAAATATACAGCTACTTCAACAAAGATTCAATGGAAAATTATTTCTGATATTACGTCATGTAATATTCTTGGATAATGCTAGAACCCAAATGAAGATTGTACGAGCTTATACGCATGTTACAGTTTATGTATAACGAAGCACTACACACGAAGCATGCATATGAATTCAAATCTTCGAAGATAAGTACGATAAGAAATCGTCAAAGATAAAATCAATATTTAATCCCATCGGTTAGAGTAAAAATTATGCTTAAAAAAATCTGGAAATGAAAACTGAGCTGGTATGATCCCTTATTATCGGATTTGACGAAAACATATGAAAACTGATGCGAACAACTTTGCAACTTAACATTTACTACTTACATTATTGCTGCGGCATTTATTTGAATATAAGGAAATGAATGAATTAACTAATTGGCTACATCATTGTTTTGTAGATGAAAGTAGCTGTGATTTATTTATGTTACAATGATTCAGGTAAGAAATCTAATTCAGTCTCTGTAAAATCAAGAATTACATCAATACGTAAAATTACATTTCCTAGATTGGAAGTTCTTGCAGTTCTTTTAGGAGCCAGATTATTTCAGTGCATTCGAAAAAACTTTAAAGTACTAAATACTAAATTTTATTTCTGGTCAGATTCCATGATTATTCTTCACTGAATTTTCACTAGATGAATAGTACACTACAAGCTGAATGAATAATATTACAATATGGATAAATAGGTACAAGCTGCATAATAGCCCTTATAAGCTTGGTAATCGTACTAGTAAGTTGGATAATTAGTACTGCCTGAAAAAGACACAAATGAGTTACTTTCCTCGAGCATATTGGGCTTTAACCAAGGAAAACCACTACCAACAAACTCTATAATTAGTTTGTTGAACCTATTCTAGATAAAATAGGAATAATTTTAATGGGAGGATGTCCTTCACTGTGCTATTATTTCCCATTGAGAAGCACATCTAGTTAGTTTCCCACTTCTTATCTCAAGTTTGATATTATTATCAAGGATTGAAATTATTTTATCATTAAGCATTACGAACAAAAATTAAAGCATAGAGTTTCAGCAGCAATACTGGACCGTATTAAGGAGAAGACATAAATTTTAAGAGCGAGACAAAGAATTAAGGGTGTTGTATATAAATTCATTTTATGCCAGAAATTTCGCGCGAAGTCATTGACTAAGATTTCTGCGTCAGCTACAGCTGAAAAGATATCGAAAGCATATTCTTTTCAAATGACTAGACTGGATTATTTGAAAACGTTGTACATTAAAGATCGTTATGAAGAAGATTTATGTACTGCTCTTTACTTGTGTCATAAGTAGAGCGATACATTTGGAATTGACACTTAACTTGACCTTTCAGACATTTCTACAAGCGTTTCAAAAATTTGTTGGAAGGAGAGGCCTTTGCAAGAAATTTACAGCGATATTCCACAAGGCAAATCGAGAGTTGAACCTGCTAAGGTAAATCATAAAGGTGAAGAAGTATATTAAAGAACCTTGGTACAAAACTTGTTTGGGAAGTTAGCTGTCAAGTAATAGTTAGTTGGGAAGAAGCTATCAGGCATCGAAAGGCCTGCCTGATAGGGTGTTTTTAGGAACGCTTAGTGGGGTCAGTTAAGATGGCCCTGAAAAACCTTTGGGAAGAACTTAAATTTTATTTGAAGAAATGGCAGTTATGTTCATCTATAAAGTTGCAATATTAACTCCAGGCTCCTAATTTATGTTTTCCGAATGATCCAAACAAAGCCGAACAGTTATCAAGTGGCAATTTCCTAATCAGATAGCGATTGTTGGTGTTTCCTCGAGCAAATAAAGAGATTCCTTCCTCTGAATCTCAACTTCTAAAAATGAGAAGATACCAAGAAGATTTACGTAATCGAATTTGAAAAAGATGGAAATTATCTTATCTTCTTGAACTTACGTCAACTCATAAACCATGATTAGTCAAACGGTCCATGGAACTGAGAAAATACTGTGATTTTGATAACTGAAGATAAAGCACCTAGATATTTATGAGAAATATGCACTGTAAAAGAACTTCATTCTGGACGTGATGGCTGTATCTGTGCGCATATAGGCATTCTATACTGCGCTACGCACATAGGGAAAAATTCGTGTTTGTGATTGGGCATACTTTCCGATGACATCATTTTCTCTTGGTTTAATAACGTTTAGGCGGGATTCTTACGGTTTTGTTTCGTTGAATGACACGCATGAGTGACACGGAAGCTTGAAAATTATCTTTTGTTTTCTTTGAACAGTTATGCCAGACGAAAATATCTACAGCGTTCTGCAGATGACTTCCTGTTCCATGGAATAATAAAATTATAAAATCCTTCAAAGATGCTGTTAATATCAGAAGCAATCTCAAGCTCTTAGATTATATATAGTCTAATCAGAAGTAATTTAGTGCAAAAATCAAAACACATTGAATTATAGGACGGTCTCGACCCAACTGCAAAGGCATTGTGTGCACGTATGTATATATTGCAATTTTGTTGCATTCTGTTCCTTTCACATTGTATAAAATATTTCCTTTGCAACTGCATATGTTACTTCCATGATAAATTCCATGTCTTTCACATTTCTAATATTTTATTGCCTTAAATGACAGAAAAAAGTGCATTCAGTATTGTCACTGAATTTAATGCATATGTATAAGAAAATAAACTTCCTTCTCTGGTAAATACTGTTTTTACACAACATGCAACAGATATTACACATTAAAAAATGGGCAATATTCATAAAGTAATATTATTCAATTTACCCTTTTATTTTTATTTCTTGATCCAAGTATTCTAACTTTAAAAATAAGTTTTTCTTTTTCAGACCGACCACAATTATCGTGAATTTGCTGTGTATTACCTTAGCTCCCAACATTTTTGCGATCTGCGAAATCTGACTTGTCTGATGCTTTCGGAGATTACATCTGCAGAAAATGGATATATAATGAACATGAAATAGTGTATTAATGATCACAACACCTTTAATATGAGCGGTTTTAATTTAAGAATTCCTTTATTAAATATTACACTTAATATTAATACACATTTAGGAATTTGGCACTAGAAGAAATAATACTTTTTCTCTTTAGGAAAACAAAAATCACTACATTTTTTAAATTAAATTCACCGCACTCTAGTGCCGTAAGAAGTGTAATCTCGGCACCAAAAATACAACGCACGTCATTAACAGTAATAAACTTTTCGATACTGCTATCAAAATGTAAACAGACGGTATGGAGGTGTACTCTTCAGCCTAAGCCGTCAATCTTGATGGTGACGCACTCTAGTGCCGTAAGGCTTTCTAAGCATAGAGCAAATTGAAGGCTTTCTAAGCATAGAGGAAAT